TGCAAGCCCAGTCAGCCTGTCCTCACCAACTGGAGCCTCATGTGCATGCAGCGGGCATTCAGTAAATAGTTGTGGCATGAGTGCACGGACTCAATAGGGACCCTAACAGCCCAGTAAGTCCCAGAGCTGGCCTCCAAATTCAGCCAAGAGCAGTCAGGCACATGGAGGTATGGCATGGGGCAGGGGGAGCCCTCCCTCCTTCCCATACCCTCCCCCGAGCCCACCATCCCGGAGGAGGTTGGTGGTGTTTTCTGAGCTCTTCACAGCCCCGTGGAATGGAGGACAGACCTATGGGGCTTTCCTCAAGGCAGTGATGGCGCTCACCCTGTTTCAGCTGCAACTTTCTCTTCTCTACCCTCTTCTTCCCCATCTACTCTTGATTGACACCAATGCTGGCTCTGACATGATTTAAAAATAGATATAAGACAAAGAAGTTTAATTTTTAATGCTTTGGAAGGGAAGTGAGCACAGAGCCACCATTCCCTCACAGGCACATTCCAGGGTCTCTGAGCACCAGCCAGGCCCTCCACCTGCGCCCTTTCCCCTGAGCAGAGCCAGGCCTAACATACTCCAAACATCTACCTGTGGCAGCCATCTGGGAGACAGCCTAATGACTCATCCCTGAGCACTCTGGGGACCCTCTGAATGCCTCTGGCTGCCCAGTTCAGCCTGGATCTCCTATTTGGAGAGGCCAGGCCAAACCGGTCCTGCTCAGACCCCACAGTCCACTCACCACTTCCATTCCCAGACAGAAGGCACCCCACAGCTTCCTTATGACACCCCAAGCCACCCACACTGGCTGTGCACAGACCCCTGTCCTGTGCACCACAGACCGAAAGGGAGCCACGTACCCCACAGAGACACTTACGATGCAGCCAAGCCAATACAAAGCACATGTCTCAAATGTGGCTGGAGAGCCTTAACCAAGCTGCCGGCTACCAGAGGGCAAGTGAACAGTCTGGGAGGGGCCGAGCCCCAAAGGCCTGACCCGACCCCACTTACAGGAGATTAATCAGGACCCCCATAGCATTCCTATGCCAACATTTCCTTTGTTCTAGCAGACACACTGAACACTGCCTTCTTCACTTAATTGGCCTTTATTGAGGGAGAACTCTACAAGGAATAGACTTTCCTTTGGGGCCAGAATGTCACTGCTCTGCCAGCCATGACTTAGTGATGGGACAGCTGCACTAGCAAGCATGAAAAGTGACCATTACCTGGAGTGGCAAATATGCCAGCAACCCCAGCCCCACCCCCACCCCTCCGTATCAGATAGGAACTTGACTTAGGTTGGGAGAAGATGAGCTGGGATCACATTTACTGTCCTGAGATGGGGACATAGCCCCCAGCACTCACAGCCTATGCTATACTCCACCTCCCCTTCTCAGAGTAAAAAGCTCTGAGCCCCCTTTGCTCTCCTGTTAGGGCACATATGCACTTAACCTCTACCCAGGGGGTTCCACCAGATGGCCCTGGGAGGACTCAGAGATGGGCTGAGGGAAATGCCCCAGTGGTTCCCACTGTGGGCAGAAATAACTTGGCATGGGTTTGATTACTGGTAGACAGGCCCTCAGGATGGGGATACTTCTACCCAATTAGGCCTCCTAGTTTGTTTCCACTAAGAAGCCATCATTCTCTTGGCCATGAGAATCAGAGTGAGACATTCGGCAGAAAAGAGGAGGTGATACTCAGTCAGACATGACCACTGACTGCCTCTCCTCAACTCCCACCATCTATGTCAGGCCCTCAGAAATGCTGCCCTGGGTGCCAACATGGCTGGCACCATCTGCTTGAAGTCGGCAGTGCCAGGAGCAACCCAGACCCTCGCCCCCACTCTGAAGCAGACAGGCACCCAGCAGCCTGTGAGGCACCTGCCCCTTTCTGGGTAAGGAAGAAGAATGCTGGCAGTAGAGCTCTGCATCCCACCCAGTGCCAGTGATGTCACCCAGGCCCTCACCAATACCAACACCCTAGAAGCTCCACCCATTGGCAAGGAACCAGGGACTCTCCCCCATGCGAAAGGTGGCAGTGTAGGACAGCTGCACTAGCCCTCCTAGCAGGCTCTGAGGAGGCAAGGGGTATGGCGGCAGCAGCTGGTTTGCAGAACTACCAGGTAGATGCAAGGATCTAAGGAAGATCTCTATCTATTGATAGCAGGCCTTGGATTTAACTCTAAGGCCTCCATTTGGGGTCTGAGCCTTGAGACTAGAAAAGGTGATGGCTACATTGTTCCTGACAATTACTCTGGGTCCGGGAGGAGGCAGCTCTCAGTAGCCCTGCATGCCTCCTCAGCCCACCCTCGTACCCAGCTCTGCCTCTCCTCTCCTGTATGCGATAGAAAGGGCAGAGGCATCCAGGGGTCCTGTTCCACCTGCTTTTGGCCCAAGCAGTTTCTCTTCTCATTTGCCTTTTTCCTCCACTCCTTCTCCCATATTGGGCCCGATTACCTGGCTGCAGGAAGTTATCACTCAAGTAGAGCTTAGTGACCCACCAGCCCCAAATCCTGGATAACACCCCACTATACACACTTGCTCTTCCAGACCCAGTAAACATTCTTACACACACGGGCATCCATTTCTTTTTTTGCTAAATTTTCTGTCTTTCCTAAGGTGTATGTCTTATTTCATCTTCTCATAAACTCCTAGCATCAAAGACCTGGGTCTCTGAGACTCAATTTTTTCTAGCTCATAGCATGTCATGGGAATTCTAAAAATACTAAGTAATCAGAAAAGCCAGATTAGGAGTCACTCCTTGCCTGGTAAGAGAGAAATGGTGGTACTTTCGAATTAAGAAGAGACAGCAAGTCCTACCACTATAGACCATAAAAGAAGACCTTTCCATCGACCAGCTCATTAACCTCTGCCAAGCTTTTCAGGGATGATAAAAGAGCCTCTTGTCACCCCATGGCTAAGGTGCTTGGAGAGCCTTCATCACAGACAAGGCCCTACCAAGTGGGAGCTGGGAATACCTGTAACACAATTAACATGTAGATTTACTGTTCTGGCCCTCCATTCATTTGCTCACAAATATATATCGAGTGCCTATTAAGTGTGGGGAACATGCCATCGTGCTACACCACTTGAAGAGGTCCCTAAACCAAGTTGACACCATCCTAGAGAATAATGAAACCTCAGCAGTTATACTCAATCCAGCCAGCAGGTGGCAGGGTGGGGGTTGGGGAGGAGCAGAGAGGTACCTGCCAAGGAGCTTGAATGAGCATCCATCCCCAGGAGGGTCTTTCTAGTAAGTGTTAAGATATGCACAGTGGTGAAAGACAGAAAGGAAGATTTCCTTTGAGCAAGAACAGAGATGGAAGCCATGCACAATGAAGGGATGATGTTCATATAATCCACAGGCCCTGGAGAAATGCACACCAGTACTTGGCTGACACTAATCCTGCCAAGTGAGTCAGAAGACAAGCAGCACTTCCCCATAGATGGCCACAAAATCATCTTGACATTCCAGTGGTTCTGCCCCAATTTCCACAAAACCCTCGCCACAGTGCAGGTAACGCAATGGCTGGAGGCCCCAAGACCATGGAGACATCTGGGAAAATCCAACTCAATTTCAAACCGGGATCTTCTGAAGAAAAGCAGCAGCTTGTGTATGAGTCAGGGAAGAAGGGCCCCTACCAGAGAGAAGGTAAGGATGCAGGATATCTTACACCTAATGAAGTAAGGGTATGACAAAAACCATCATGACAGCCCCACATTGGGCTGTAAAGGATACCCAGTCATTAAGGAGTAACAAAATTTAGCCAAGGCCACAAAACAAGCCAACCAAGAACCAAGACTAGAGCCCAGACTTCTTCCCACATAACATGAATTTTCCCCTCTGCAGAAAAAGTTAGGCTTACCACCAACATACCCAAAAAGTTTTTCAGTTAAAGCCAGTCACTCCCCACCAGTGTTGAACACCAAAACACAACTGCTACCCAACTTCACTGCGAATGACTTTCTCCTGCCCCCAGTGCTCCTCCTAGACCACAGGCAACTGACAGCCTCCAGCCCGTAGGAGGACAGACCCTGGGGCAGAGCCAAACATCTGTGCTGACTGCGTCTGGGCTCTGGTGAAGAAAGGTAGAGGCAGCAGTTGTGATGAAGAAACAATTACATATAAAGTTAAGAAGTTTTCAAATTTACCTAACTAGTATTTCTTCTGCACAAGCACGCAAGCCATGTCTGCACAGCCTCCTGAATCACAGAGGTCAGAGAACAATTCCAAGCTGCCTCGCCCACTGACACCTACTCTGAAAAAACATAGGACACTCCTGATTGTCCCCCCTTTATCCCTTTCAGTCTCTGGATTGCAGTTCTCAAAGCTGGCAGGCCCAGCAATCCACAGCAGGAGCACATGGCCAGCCAGCTGCCCTGCCCAGTCCACTGCAATCCCTCAAAAGCAGCTGCCTGCCACCGGATGGCAGCATCCCCCCCACACCCTCCTTGTCCACATGAGCCCTAACTCCAGGGCATATCTGCAGGCTAGTGAGCAAGTCCCTCCACTTAAGACAAGGGCTCCTTTTCCTGGGGTTCATTGGCAGGAGTACATGTGACCTCTTCCACTTCCCCATGTCATAAAGTGCTGCACATCGTATTCTTGCATATTAAAAGGAATACAAGAAAAAACTCAGATCATCCATACTTGTGCCTGCCTTCAACTCAGGGTCACAGCTGTTATTCTGACACCACACCTACTTTTTCAGCTTATCCAGTTGGAGACCCTTCCAGAATGGGTTTCTTATAGGTGAAAGACATAGCAGCAAACTTTGCAAGTCTCCTTGGAGTAGAGTAAGTCTGCCCTAGAAGACAGGTGAGCTGGAGCCCCCATTCAACCATTGAGTAAGGAGAAAGGAAAAGGAAGATACATGGATGAAGGAAAAAAATTATCTAAAAAAAAAAAAAAAACCACTTACCGTGTGCAGAAGCAGAGCAATGCAGCACCAAAGAAGAGGGTATATAAGAGTCGAGGACGCAAAAGGAGGAATAAGCACAATGACTTACCCAGAATATCAAATTGAAGAGGAACATCATGTACTTCAAGCAGCAGAGGCAGCCCCTGGCCATGTTGCACTTTTTAAATTCTAGGAGGAAAACAAAGGACAGGTCCAGGTAAAACACCACATACTTGCTGCCTTTGGGGGCATTGTACTTGTCGGTCTTAACGCCAGCTTCAGCACTGCTCTGGCCCCGGGAGCCTGTGGTGCCATAGAAGGCGCCGGCTGTGAAGCCGCGGCCGAACGAGCGGCCCGAGGTGGACGGTTTGGCAAAGTCTGAGTCCTTGCTGTCCAAAGATGGACTCCGGTGGATCGAAGAATCCTCGCTACTCGACTTCTCCATGCTCGAGGCGTTCTCCAGGGACGTAAGGGGTGGGGGGCATCACTCCCGGAATAGGACGGAAGGGGCGCCCAAGTCAGGCGCGTGCTGCGGGCGGCCCGATGGAGTCTTTCACGCCCGCTCTCTGTGCTGAGGGGCACTTCGGACCGGACCAGGTGCACAGGGGCTGCTGCCCTACTCCCGGCTGGCCCCCAGACAGCTCTGCAGCTCAGCTCTCTGCGCTCTCGAGAAGGCTCTCCGGGAACTGACTGGCCTGCGTAACTCAGCGTCTTTGGGAAGGCTGCAATTTGACTTCTCTTTCTCGAGCGTCAGCTTGCCTCCCGGTACACTGGCCGCTCCACGTAAGGCACAGGGCTCCGGGACCCAGGATCCCAGAGCACACACCTCGCCCAACACAGCCTCAACGTTGAGCCCTGACCACTTTGCTGGCGCTCCGCCTCCTTTCCCTCCGCGACTTTGCGGAGCAGCTTGCCAGCCCTGAGGACAGTGAGACAGTGCCGGGAGATTCGCTGCAGCTACCACCGCTGGGCTTTCCCAGAGAAATCCCAGCCGGGACTCCTGAATCTACTCCTAAATCGATGGGAGCCCCTAGCCAGGCCCTCGAGCCCGCCCTCTGCTTTGCATTCGACCAATGAGCGCGAGATCTGCCAGGGGCAGGGGGGTGGGGCAGCCTCCCCCTCCCCAATAACACCGGGTCTTTAATAGGATTAGCGTTCTCCGGTCTGCCTACCCCAGTGCGCTGTGAACCCTCACTAAATATCAAGGACTCTAGGGCCAAGGGTATACCAAAACCTTCATGTGAGGCTTTGGTCTCCTCTACCACAGAAAAGGGGGTGGCAGAGGAGGGGAATGACTCGAGGTACCAACGACCCAAGAAAGCGGAGGAAAGGGCTGGGGAGGACTGGAGGGGTAAAGAAGTGCAGTCATTGTCACCCTGGCCACTGCCTCCCGTGCACTCGGGGTCTGTCCGAACCGGGGCACACAGTTTCCTGGTTACACACACACACACACACACACACACACACCCCACCCCACGCTTTTGCACACGTGGGTCCAGCTACGACACACAGGGAGAAGAGACCGCAGAAGCTGCAGTTTAGGGTGGGAACGGCGCTAGAGGCCTCCCCGCCGCCCTCCCCACCCCCTCGCGCTCACGCGCACGCTCGCACACCAGCGGCTCAGTGAGGCTCCCGCAGCTGCGCGAGTCCCCTCCCCCACCCCACGTTCCAGGGTGGAACTCTGCACTGCCTGTGACCTGCACAGAGAAGAGGAGAGTAGTTGGCCGAGTGAAGTCCTGCTTATAACAAGGACGATGTAAGAGTGCTCTCAAAAGCAGTCTGGATCCTCTACCACGAGGAGTGCATGTAAGGAGCTGGTCAGGGAAACAGCAGGAAGAAGGCTCTTGGGCTTGGGATCATGCAGCAGGAGCCTACATCCTACCGTAAAACACTGTGCATGGGGCAGCATCTCCTGCACTGGTGCAGACCTGGGCTACACAGTTGGCAAACAAAGGAAACTAGAAAACTTGGGGGAAAAGGGGTGAGAAACCCACCTTTTTTCTGTCATCAGCAAGACAGTGCTGAGAACACCTGAGAGCAGGGCCAAATCCTTCGAGGCTCAGTATCCCCAACACCTAACCCTGGGCTTAGGGTCTGGGGGGATGGGGACCACACGGGAATGGCTGGATAGGAAATTCATGTCCTCTGTGTGGTGTGAATGTGAAATGGCCTCCCCACATTCCATCAAACACTCCTTCTACACCTACTTCAATGTGCTGAGCACAGGGCCAGACCCCTGGGGAAACTGATATAAGGTGTGCTGCTCCCTGCCCTTCACACACACAATCTGGTCAGAAAGACAGGAGGATATTCACCAAGGTCATACCAGAACAGAGCGACTGTCACCACTGGCTGTGGCTGAAGAGAAGGGAACATTCACTTTGACCAGAGGGACTTGAAACCCTCATCACAGGCCTGCTGCAGCAGCCCTGCGCCTTCCAGTCTGCACCCTCACTGGCTCCCAGGCAGGCCTACATCCTAGGGTGCAGTCACTTAGGTTCCTTCCAGGGCCTGCAGCGGTGTTGCTATTCTGAGCCCCACTCCCACAGAGAGCAGCCCGGCTAGGAAACCTAGTGAGTGTCACAGCCATGGCATCTTGCTGTTTCCTGGTTGGGCACTCGGTCCCTGGGTCTACAGATGAGGGACAGATGTCTGACTGGCTCCTCATGGAGCCCATGGTCACCTGACTGGAATGGCTAAAACCTTTTGTTCTCTTCAGCCTAGACCCCCAACCAGCTGACTCCTGAGGGCTCACGGCTGCCACTTCATTCTTATAGCATTACTTCTTTGATGCAGAGGACATCATTTCCCAGTGGGACTCGGAGTCCGGAGACCTGTCCTTCACTCTTAGCTCAGTTTGTAGCTGTGTGATCAAGCGCAAGGTAGTTTGCCCTTCTGAGGTCCCACTTCTTCCTCTTCAAAAAGGGGATTAATAAGCTTAACCCTAGAGGTGTCCTCAGCATAAAGTGAGCTGGCACATGTGGGAACAGTCCCAGGCCTGTAACCTCGGAACAAAAATAAGGAGCTGTTATTGCTAGTCTCATATGGGGACTTGGTTTCAGCAAGAACCCTCCTAGGCCAACCCCCTCTGCCTTCTTCTTCTTTTTTTAAATCTCTCTTTTCTCCCCAATTCAAACCTTGTTCAGTGAGAACAGCCTGCCATTGTCATTCCTCCTTCATTTTTTATCATAAATGGATTTGTGCCAGTAACTATTTCCTCAGCAACTGAGGACCTGGGGGAAGGGGAAGGAGAGCAGAGAGTGAAGGATGACAGGCAGGTGTAAGAGAAGAGGAGGCTGTCCACTGTAACAGTTCTACTCCCTCTGGGTCACATTCATCCAAAGGGCACATTTGTCCCACTCTTCGGTCCATTAACAAAGTTTCAGTGAGATCCCATCAGGGTACCCAGTTTAGTCATCACCAGAATAATAAGAGCAACCCAGGTTTACTGACAAGGATGTCAAATTCATTTTCACTGGGGGCCACATCAGCCTCACAGTTGTCTTTAAAGGGCCAAATGTAATTTTAGGACTGTATAAATGTAACTTCTCCTTAACTAGGGGCAAGGAGCTCTGCATTTGTCCCTTTGAAGGTAACCACGAGACTGATGTGGCCCCTGCTGAAAATAAGTCTGACACCTCTGTTATACAGTAAGTCCTCATTATACCCCAGTTACCACTCATCACAACCCTATGAAATAGCTATGGTCATCAACCCATTTTACATATCAGGAAACTGATTTCAAAGCCCATGTTCTCTGCTCTCTTGGGCTCTAAACCTAGTTCCTGCCCTTGGGAATTTTCCAGTCTAAGAGACAGTATCTAAAAGCACACAGGAACCTGACATCGCGTGTCCTGACCAGAAATCATTAGATAAAAGGACCCTGAATAACAGGCTAAAGGGAGAGGTGTGGTTAGGGCAGTGTGGCTGGACTGATGATCAGCTAAGTTGAATCCCAAGGAGATGGACCTGAGTTACCTTAAAGGGGTCTAGAAGAAGGAAGAGAGTCCAGGGGAAACGTAGTCTGCAAGCCAGGAACTAGTCCACAAAAGAAGATAGCTTAGACAGAGCTGGGAGAGGAGCCATAGGAAGATAGATTTAGGCCCCAATGAACAAGCCACACATTCGAAGTAGACTGTTCATCACAGACAGAACACTGAGCAAGGACCCTGGAAGATACAAAGATGTGTGAGACATGGCCGTGGACCTCAGGCAGCTCACAAGCTAGCTAGAGACCAGCCTTTACTCCCATGTACCATAACAGAAGCAGCAAAAAGCTGTCCCTTCATCCTCCCCTTGCAGAAGGGCTCTCTGGAGTGGGTGTGGATGGGGTGCAAGGAAAAGCATTAACTAGGAAGGAGTGGGTACGGTGCACTCGGGGGCAGTGAGAATTCACATCTAAGTGAAGCAGGAAAATGTGCCTGGGAATCAAAGTGAACTGTGCCAGGCCTTACACAACACTTGAAGGTCTGGTCTTCACACAGGAGCTCCCCCAGCAGTGAAAGTCTGGGCTTCACAGAGGAGCTTCCCAAGCAGTAGGGGCACATGACAAAACTGGTGCCCTAGGAAGATGGGCCTGGCAGCAGGGTTAGGGAAGGCAAGAAGACCAGTGCTGTGGTTTGCCTCAATTTCTTGGGATTTGGGTACAGAAGGAGCCACCAGAGAGAAAAGATGAGTTGAGACACCATCTCTCCTGCCCTGTCCTGATCCTCAACCACTTGCCAGGCTCAGAAAACCTGGAAGGTACAGACTGCCCTTGAAGATCTCTGAGCATGTGAACATGGCAGAGCTGCCTTTTCTTTCCTTTTTTTTTTAATAACAAGAAAAAAAGTGAAGCAAGTACAGAATTCCCAGAGGGGAGAAGGAGAAGTGACTATGTAAAATCAACATGCAACATCTCTGCTGTCTGACAACTGGGGAGATATGGGCTTCAGAGTCAATGCCAAGCTCTCTCTCTGCCTCTTGCTGAGTTTCTCAGGCTTGCGGTACAAGACGGAGCTCAGTCTTTGGTCTCCCACTCACCCACACACGATCAGAAATGATAGGCCAACACAGACCCCCTTTCCGACCTCTACTGATTATTTCTGCATTTGACAATGTGCGCAGCTGGTGAAGTATCCCATCCCTCTAAACTTCAAACAAGGCACCTCAACCAGAATTTACATTAGCCACAAAATAGCACTCGCTATCCTAAGGAATACATGAGATGGGCCACCATGGTAGAAGGCATACTCACTTCGCCCTAATGTTTAAACTCCAGAACTGAGGACAATATAAAAATACTGTACTTGCTCAGCAAACAATCTACCTACAATGCCAAAAGCCAGGGCTGCAGAGATCCCTAGCAGGGGGCCCACCTCCAGAGACATCTGCACGCAGATTCACTCAGCAGGGGGTGGTGAAGAAATTCAACTTGGCCAGGACTCCGGAAGGGCAGGAACAACAATGGTGAAAGGGTTGGGGTAGAAAAGAACTAAAGGTAGTTTTGTTAGTTTAGTTTCTGAGCACAGCAAAGAAAATAAGCAAACGGGGTTTGGCTGCAGTGGGAGGGTTCACAGATAGATAGATGGAGGGAGGACTTGCTCAGGACAGTCTCCCAGGGGTGGCTGGGGTACCTCTTTCTCTGTGGAAAAGGTCTGATCCTCCCTCCTTCAGGCCCGCAGTTCTTTGTTCAGGCTGCAATTACAGTTTGTCCACCTGCCTCTGCTCTGGCCACTGGGCTTCTCATAGGAGGCAAGGAGTCTTAATCATGTCATCACCCTCCCCCCAGTGCCTGTCACAGTGACCACTGAAAGGATAGGTACTCAGAAAAATGCTTTTGGGTAGAGGGAAAAGGAAGACTACCAGGCCTAAGCCCTGCATTCCCTCCAAATTCATTAACCAGAGGATGGAACCCAGGCCAGAAGTCTATGGAACTGTTCCTGGAAAGCAGGATATCTA